ACTTTAGAAGGTATTGTTTGTAAGTTTCTTCTACCTAGAGCCCCTAATTTTGGAGGACTTTGGGAGGCAGGCATTAAATCGTTTAAACAACATCTGAAACAAACTGTAGGCAATGCTAAGTTTACACTAGAAGAGTTTCTGACCGTTTCTATTCAAATTGAAATAATTTTGAATTTGTGTCCATTAACTGCCTTATTATATGAAGTTACAGATTTTGAAGTCCTCACTCCTTGCATTTTCTGATTGGATGCTCATTAAATATCATTGTGAAACTTGCACTATTAAATCTAAAAGAAAACAGGTTGGCTCCTTGGTTAAAAAGCTGCTAAGATGGTTCAGTCAATTTGGAAAAAGTGGCATTGAGATTACCTTAACCATTTCTTGCATCATGTCTACTCTAGTAAACAAAAGTTTAAATTTGTTTATTCTTCTGTAAGTGCCTTAACAGATTAACATTCCTGTGTTTATTCATTCCATATTATTAGAATTTTCAACTGTCGATCTTAGATGGCTGTATAGCATCACTAAGTAAAGCATTGCTATTTGGAAAATGGCTGCTACTTCTATTTCCAAGTTAGTACAATTTCTCATAGTAAACATTATATAATACTGCTTACATTTTCTTATACAGTCAAAAGTCGTTAATCCGGACTCGTCGGGACTTCGGCGATTCCGGATTATAGATCATCATTTAATCTCGTAGATGGCATGCAGAAATTCTAAAATTAAAATATGAAACCGTAATTATGAAATAAGAACAATTATGATCTAAAGGGTACAAAATTTACAAAAAAAAAAAAAAAAGCTATATTTATTTGTTTACTTTATTAACATTTCTTTCAATGTAGTTGTTTAATTGCTTCTTTTTATGTGATAATACTTTCTCTTAATTTTATAAACAGACATAATTTCTTTCAGTACAAGTTCCCTGTTCAAGTCCTTAATTGCTGTGCGAGAATACTGACTAACTTATCAATCGAAATTTTTTCGTTTTCACTAACCTCTCTCTGTCACTTCTCATGTCTTATCCATTTTTGGAGCAATTCCACTTTTTAGTTGTTTGGAACATCAAAACATACTTTCGTTTTGTAGATCCTTTGGAAGTTCCAGCATCGGAAATTCTATTGACATAATCGAATTTCAAGTTTACTTTTATAAATTGCTCTTACAGTCTGCAAAAATAATAAGCAGGCTCCAATTCAAAGATTAAGAATAACGCAATCATTAACATTAACTGAAATAGATAATGAGATATTTTAGCTTACACCGTCCGTTATACATTAAACGCGCAGGCGAAAACGTATCGCACTTGCGCACTACGCATATGCGCAGTATTCAAGGTCTTACGCGCAGCGTAAACCCTGTGCGCATGTGCCAACCTCGCATGCGCAGAAAGTTTTTAGCTTTGAGGTTCGGATTATCGATCATTCCGGATTATGGGTGTCCGAATTAACGACTTTTGACTGTACTGCCATTTTTTATTCATTATTAGTAATTTTAGACATTTTATTTTAAATATCAGTTTGAAAAATTGTGGAATGGGTAGATAAAGATGTACCGAAAAGAGTGAATTGAAACCCAAATGTACTGCTTCTCAAGCCAAAACACCACTGGAAATGTTTATGTTTGGCAAGGAATTTCTAGAACATTTGAATCCAATACGTACAGGTTACAAAATCGTAGCAAAATGAATTCAATCACAATTGACAAGATGAAGGTATTTTGGGGGATCTCTATGTACATGTCTGTTTTAGATTTACCATTTAGAAGATAGTAATGATCACTGCAAACAAGGCAGGAAATGATTTTCAAATGCAATGACTGTAAATCATTGGGAAGAGATTTGTATGCATGTATGTATATGCATGTTGTCCACTGTAGTGAACAAACTGTAGCAATTATTCCCAGTGTAAACCCTGGTGCCCTTGCTTTACTCAAGGAAGATGATCTGCCTCCTTCTAAATGAGCTACATGTTCTATAAAGGAAGTTATAACCGGGCCTTGTGGAAAGGTTGAGTAGTTATGGTTAGAACTCCTACTGGCACATTTAAAAGATGTATATAAAAAGTATATCTGCTACCTATTGAATATTAATACTCATGTTTATTTGATGAACCTAATGAATGTAGAATTATATTATATTAGATATTATAAATTTTGTAACTGTATGGATGTCCATTATTATGTTACGTGTATTATTATGTAACTGTATGGATATCCATTATCCATTATGCCATAATGGATATTCGCATTTTAGTATTATGTTATTCTTTATTATATTACCAATGTTATATTCATGTAATTATGGTGTATTGAAATATAAATATTTCTATGGGAGGCAGGATATGTCATCTCATCCTATCTTGTAACATTCATCTCACTAGAGGGCGCTGTGAAACCCCACAAAAAACCGGCAGAACACCCATAGACTGCGAGCAGAACCATTCTCCTTTGGTTCGAGCACCATGTTTTGTAATAGCCATCAGTGCCAGCAAGAGCATGTGGCTCTGATCCTTATGGCCCCTGTGACTTTCCATTGATGAATAAACTTTTATAATTGATTCCAGTCCACTCTCTTTTTGATGGATCTCATTATCTAACAATTGCAAAGAAAGTTTCTGCAAGGAGTGTGTGATTGTCCCAAGATTCTCTTACAGTGGAAATTAAAAATAAGAAGAGTAGAAAAAATGTTAAAATCAGCTCTGTATTATCTAGAGAACGTTTTATGTCCAATATTTACAGAAGAAATTCCATTTCATTATCCCAATGACTTTCTAAGTGTAGAAATCCATCAAGAAAAAGCAACAAATCATACTTGCATTCCTTGAAACAATGAAGATAGGTACAGGTATTGCGTATATGCCTTTTCAATGTGTTCCTGTGAAGACCATTGATCTGTGGACTATTGTGCCTCTGGTCTGTTGAAAAGAACTTCTTAGCACAAATTCACCACGTTAGATGACCTCTGTAAAGTAGTGGATGAGGAATGGAAATCAGTACCCATGGAAATTTTAGGAAACGCCCAGCTATCATGGAAATCACAATGCAGACACAGTCCAGAAAAAAGGCTATCAGATCAGACATTTAAAAAATGCTCTTTATGTTTTAAACATTAATTAAATGGCTTCAAACTTGTTCTAAGAATGCGTAAACAGCTTCAGTATCATGAACACCCTTGAAGATTATTGTGCTTTGGAGATAAAATAAGACTTTCACCATTCTTTAAGTTCTTTATATGACTGAAAATTTATTGTTTAATTAAATTTGGAATTTCTTCATTCACAGAGATATTTAATTTCTTATAACATTGATTTATATGAACAGTAATCCAATTACAGAATTATTTAAATTAAGTCAGTGATCTGGGGATCAAAAGCAGCAGTAATTTTACTACCGAGTTCATAACCATGTTGTAATTTAGGTTTATTGAAGAGTTTTGGGCATTGTAGCATAGTTTGCTGTTATTTGTTTCACTCTTGTGAGGAGCATTAAGCAGGAAGTCATTAAAGAAACATGCGTGCTAAGGGTCAAGATAATAAGATAGTTCAACTTAAGTAGATTGGCCTAACTTAAATCCTTGTATGTTTTGCTGTAATCAGTTTAAGAGAACCAAACCTTTAAAAATAGGAAGTAATTTGGGAAGTTCAGATTGTTCATAAACTGAGGAATGTAGAACTAAAAAGGTCATCTAGACATCATAAAAGGAGTTTCTGAATCCCTGTAAAAGAGTTATTCAAAGCTGACATATTACTATTTGCTCAAAAATTCTCAAAACTTGTTATAGATTATTAACTGTATTTAATATTATGTATGATTAATTTCTTTGTAAAACATTTTTAAGAGAACCAAACCTTTAAAAATAGGAAGTAATTTGGGAAGTTCAGATTGTTCATAAACTGAGGAATGTAGAACTAAAAAGGTCATCTAGACATCATAAAAGGAGTTTCTGAATCCCTATAAAAGAGTTATTCAAAGCTGACATATTACTATTTGCTCAAAAATTCTCAAAACTTGTTATAGATTATTAACTGTATTTAATATTATGTATGATAAATTTCTTTGTAAAAGATTTTTAATTCATATGTATTGCATTATATGACTATGACATGGGAGGAACTGTATCTTATAAAATCAAAATGTTCAGTTTTAATTTTTATAATTTTAGTGAACATGTTATTTTAATATATGATTATTGTCTGAGTATGGTATACTAAATCATTTTACATATTATAGTTTTATTTGTTAATGTAATTATCAGTATGCAAATACATATTATACATTTATTTTTGTTTTCATTTTTTGATGTCTAATTTATATTCTCATTTATCCCTTGTGAATCTCTAGCTTATATATTCTTGTACTTACTTTTGAACTTTTGGGCTTTTAGATAAGTATTTTCAGTTATTGCGATGTATACTGCTTTTACTATTTGAGCATGTCATTGCTATGTTGTTTTATGTTTTATCTGCATTTAATATCTCAGAATCTCAGATATGTTTCATTGTCACTGAAAAATACATGCAGGTGTTCTTTGATAAAGTTTTAACTATCCAATCTATCAGCTGTCTAAGTACACGAACTTGCCAGTTTATTGTTTGGAAAGTTTACTTGCCAGTTTATTACTGTGAGTTATACATTTTGAAAAATAAATTAATGGAATGAGTTAAATCCATTCACTGCATCATTGTAAATAGATTTGTTGTAATTTTGTAGGGTTTCAAAAATGAAAATTTTGTTTCCTTTTTATGTTTTTTAATTATATTTAAGCATTTGTTGATCTGCTATTCTTGGTTAGTGACTGCTATTATTGTTACATCTTCGGTGCCTAGTTCTCATATGGATTATTCATGTACTTGTGTGTATTTTATTTAAATGTTAGTTTATTTGTTTGTTACACTTATTAACATTGCATAAAGGAATATTTTTAAATTCATATTTGTTAATCATGCCACTGTTTCTTTCATAAAATATTTATTACTAAAATCTATTTTATTTTATAGGTAGATCTATTTACCTAACTCAAGTTAAAAGTGAGCTTTTTGGATTTTCTCTATGCTGATGGGAACTTGTCTACCAAAAACGTTTGCTAGCTGAGAAAAGGAATATTTTCCTTTCATTTTTGCTTTTGGGGATGGGGACAGAACACATAAACTCAATGATGATTTAGTAATTTAAGAATTGTTATATTTATTGCAAAATATATTTTAGAATTATTTATAATTCTTGTAACCAACTGTTTCTGTATATTTTAAAATTCCCTAAATGTTCCTTTTTTAACTAACTAATAATAATGAACTCTGCAATAATTTCAAAGATGCTCATTTGCAGGAAATAAAAGCAAAGAAATTTTGAAGTATTACATTTGGTTTTGCTATTAATTTTTGTACGTTCTTATATTAGAAAAATGCTTTTTCTTGTGAGTCTTCTGTGAGTGGGGCACGACAAACTTATTTTATTTGTCAAATATAATCATATTTGTAGTTTTTTGATAGCAAGTGACACAGAATAAATATTTCTTTCAGAATTTAAATCTCTGTTTCATATTTTAGCAACATTTCTACTTTTTCTAAGTGATTTAATATTTCTACTTTTTCTAAATGATTTTTAAATGCATTTAATTTGTAATGCATCTCGTTGGTCATGCATCTCATTATTGCACTGTTCAGCAGTAAATATTTTTCAGTAAAGTATGGTAATGTCTAATAGTATGGAAAAATTGAAATGAATTTTAAAATTTTCTGAGGCGTCTTTTATAGTCCTGTATATGGTACTTCACGGATAAACATGTTTTATTCTCTTTCATACTTTTAGAAAAATGATATTTAGAAATTTACCACCAGATTTTGAGAAGTACTAACTTTTACAAACTTTTGAATGATAAAAAAAAAAACTCTTCAGATCTTTTCTAATGAGATGGAGATTTTTCTATAACAATTTGTATGCTAAGTGTGTGTGATTCTTCATAATTTTGCTTACAATATTTACACCAGGATTATAAGAGGGACAGTTATAAATAAATAAGATTTTTAAAATTAAATTGTCAAACTTCTCATTCATCGAAAGTGCTTATGAACTTTACATAATTCAGTGCATCAGAAATACTGAAAAATAACTGGTCCATTTTGATATTTAGTAATTTTTCATGGATTATAATAAAATTGGTAAATGTATTCACATGTAGACTGAAATTTTAAGAAATATTAATGAAATTCTGTGATATTTTAATCTTAATTCTAATAAACAAACATAATTGGAATAATATAACATTAATTTTGCTTTCAGTTAGGTTTAATCCAGAATAGTTCCAAAAAGTATTTAGACCTTTTTAATATTAGCAGCATTTTGACATTGTAACCATTTCTGAAGTATAAAGATACCAGTTAACTGCTCAAATTTCCAAATGATTGTGATCCTCTGTGCAAGTAATCATCTTAGAGAGGTGATGTTCTGTACTGATGCTTATTTAGAGTCTCATTAATATTTTAGATCCTTATTATAGATGTCTACTAGAGGATTCATTTGTTCACACACATTTATTCTAACTTCACAAATAATGTGATCTCATTTGCGAAATAAAGAGAAGCTTTCTTTTTTGTGATATTTGAATACAAATAAAATATTATGCCATTTTTAATGAAATTTAAAGATAATTTCTACATTTTTTTAAAGCTAACTTACCATCATCATTATCAAAAAAATTATTTAAAGTGTCTATAGAGACTATTCATTTTCATCTGATAAAATATAAATAGTATAATTGTTCAATAACAGACTACCAATAATTTTTATAAATTTAATTTAAGTTCAACTGTGTTGAATAAATCGCATAATTATCAGATTGGAGCATTTTTAGGTTGCTATATTTTTAATCCTTTTTAATATACATGGCTCTTGTTTTATGTTCTGCATTACAGACATGGCAGATAACATTATTCACATTACAGAAATAAAAATCATCTCTGATAATTCATATCATGTTGTAATGAATTATTACATTCTCTCTGGCATGCTGTCATAGTTAGCACATGCAACTAGCAACTGAATGTTCCATGGTTCAAATCCCATTGAGAGTACAATTGATTTATCTGATTTCCTGGCTCAAAATGTAATAATTTATGGAAACTGAAGATAGATTTTAATGCATAATCAAAGGAGCTTTCTGTCATTTTAATTGACCAAACATTCTAGTAAGCCAACTTAAATAACTGGGCCCTATAGTGCTAGTTTTGGGAGAATTTTATCGGTACCATTACATTTTAAATTATAATTTTGAAGAAAGCAACAGCATCAGATGCTGGTTGATAGAGATAAAAGCAAGTGCGCCATCCAAGGCCTGGTTTCATTTCGGGAAAAAAGAAAGGTTATTTTCTGAACTTTGAAATTCTTAAAAATATAGAAACAATATGCGATATTGATTACAATCAAATAATTACTGAGCACAGGCACTTCCCAGCATGCCCGAAAAATCTTAACTTGCAAAATAATAATCTTTGTAATTTTTGTAATGCTGAAGACATACCACAACATTTTGTTGAAGACTATTTTTATGACATGTTAGGGGAAACATGGCAACATAAAGGAATTCTATTGCCTCAAGGGAGAATTTAAATTTGCAAAGGAGTTGATGACTTGTATAAATGGTAATAGAACAGTATTGGGAATATTAATATAATGTTTTCAACTGTATATATTTGATTTTATTCTAATTATTTTTATTAATTATATGTTTTTGAGTATTTTTTTGTTCCAGTTGGGTGCACAGCTTTAACCATGAAGCCAGTTAATTTTGGCTAGGAGGTTGCAACTCAGTCTTATCTCATTATATTACAGAGGCCTGGTTCAAAAGTAGAAAGATTTTAGTTTGCTATACTCATATTGCCTATTAAAAATTTTAACATTGGTTGACTCTCAGTTTGCAATGTGTATATGATAGAAAGGGGAAACATTTAAATTAAAATGAAGAGTGAAGAGGATGTTTTAAATTTAAGTTAGAACATTTATTTAGTTATTTTTATCTTACACATACACACATACATAAAACCTTCTCTTAGTAAACTAAACCAAAACCTTCTCTTGGTGAGCCTCCATATTTGCACAAATGCACTTTCTCGCTTCAGCTCATCTGCAGTCAAGATGCTATTTTGCTTCGTTTGCTTTGCCATGCCACTAACTATGCCATTATCTAAAATGTTATACTATGAGTATATATAAAATTATTGGGGAAGTATTGCACCCATGATCATGTGCGGTGATATTTTTGATAATTAGTTTTTGTCCACCAATAAAAGTTATATTCAATTCGCCCCATCTATCTACAAGTCTTTCCTTTGAGTGCCATCTTTTTAACTATGCAGTAAAATCTCCTCAGCCAGAGAACCATCATCAGTCTGTTTGAGCTTTCTCCAAGTCATCTTATTACATATATATAATGACTTTACAGTAGCGTCCCAATTAATATGTGGTGAATAATAATTCATCATCACATGTATTTGGTTGAGTAGGTGTCATTCATCTCTCTAGTCTTTTATGAAATAAGAGAGAATCTAATGACTTGCCGAATTTCCCTGGATGAGCTTTTTTTTTGAGCAGTTAGTATGCTCAGCTGGCAATTGAAAAATTCGTTAGAGTATAATTGATTTCTTACATCTCCTTGCTTCAGAAAAATATGAAACAATCCCTACTGTATGTTTAAATATGCTAAAATATTCAGACTTGCTTTCCAGTGTGTAACAGAAGAAATCTAATCAATTATCCAGCTTGTTGTGTCATAAGAATTTTTTTGCAGCCTAAAATCTTGCAAAATCAGTTGTGCTTTCTGCTTAATTCAGCTCAAGGTAGCTGGATATGCTGATGCTGCACTGCAAGGTAGAAATGTTTTTTAACTCCTTACAAGTTATCTATCCCCCCCCCACCAGGTTCCTACTAAGTCATGTAATCTATGCATTAATGCTTTATATTATGAATTAAGCACTGCATGAAAATTTATCGTTTTCAGCAGTACCAAATTAAGAGTTTTAAGGAAGGCTATTCATGGGCATTAGATTTAATGTGATTCAAATAAGTCAAAAGTTAATTTAAATCAGGTATATCATGGAGTTAAAAGGTGGATGCCCTCTGTTGAGATGCGAAAATATCTTCACTGATTTAATGACTGAAGTGGTCTCCAGATCAGGTTTAGGTAGATAGCTCTCATGGGCTTTGCCATACTCAATGAATCTAACCTAATCTGATCAAGCACCTTTGTCTGAGCACAGCTTGGAACAATTTTAAGGGGTGGCCTTGTGTCTATGTTTCGCGTCATATCTATTATAAAATTAGCGGTAATCTGACACTGAAATTTGTAATTGACCAATTTCTTTCAAGAATATCAAAATAATCATTCCTCCAAGACGACCAAGAATATTGCGATGTACTAATTATATATAATAAGTGAGGTGTGTGAAAACAAGAATACAATGGTAGGAGTCTTCCAGAGAGAAATAGATCACGCAGAAATAAATGCTGGATTAGTTGCTGATTAATTACTCTAGGTTGATGTATGAGTACTAACATTATGTTTGAAGAGTCGTGCTTCTAAAAGATTAATGAAAGCTATTTTAATTCAACATTTTGTTTTTTTTTAAAAAAAAGCTGAAAAGGGCTATTAATCTCGAAATGCAATTTTGTGTTTTGCACTTTTCATTCAAGTCTGTTGCCATTCAATAAAATGTAAGATATTCATCTTTCAAATTTAATCTGCTTTTTATTGATGAACAAACTAAACTATTTAAAAGGAACGTATGCTGAATCTGATTCAGTTAAATAAAAATATATTTAATTCATAATATATCTAATTAAAAACATTAAATATTTTTATAGAATTACATTATATGTTTTCTCACTTTTCAAGTATATTTTTTCACATTTTTTATTCGACTCTGTTGCCATTCGAAAAAGACATAAGATATTATTCTTTCATATTTAATATGTCTGTTATTAATTAACAAACTAAACTATTTAAAAGCAATAGATACAGTTCTTAAAAGTATTGTTATTTTTTTTACTTTTAATCTGATTGATTAAAATAAAAGTTCATTTAATTCACGATCTATCTAATTAAAAACGTTAAACATTTTTCTTGAATTACATTACATATCTTTCAATTTTTAAATATACAGAAGGTGTATTATGTTCCAGTGTTAGTCTAAATGCATATTTATTTAATTTCCTATAAAATGCTTTCCTATTCCACATGTCTATTGGTAATTTACAGATAAACCATATTAAACTATAAAATAGTTCTTTTGGTCAGTTGTTAAAATCTGAATCTTTTCTTTTTTTTAATTAAAAAAGAAAACAGATTATAGTAAGTGGTGACAAAATTAGTTTTAATTATTATGTTTTCAAAATGTATATTGTCATCCTTATATACTATTCATTTATGATAAAGGTATTTTTTATTATAATTTTCATGGTCTACCATGTGATTGTAGATATTTCTGTTAATTTTGTCTAAGCTGCACAAGCATTTATGAATATGTCATTGTATGTTCTTCCTATTTTCTATTGTTATTTTCCACTAATTTTTAAATTGACATATTTATCTTAAATTCTTTAGTATGAAATTATCAAGATTTCGTTTGAATGTCATTGATCACTGTATACTCTTCTTAATATTTTTATTGCAATGAATAGGTGCTTAGCCCCAATAGATACTCTGTTTTTATTTTAATTGTTAAAATTTAACAGTAATATGAAATGTCTGTATTTAGTTGTACTTTTTATCTAATATATTTTTAGTAAAATAAAAATATTATTGAATGAGATGGGATAAAAGTATAGTTGAAAAAAATAGGAAAAAATTCCATTTTGTATCCACTTATTTTATCCAAGATACATTTAAATGGTGCTTAATCATAATCATACTAATACTGAGACTTGTAGGGGAAAAGTAAAAGGTGATCAGCAACCAGTCATTAAGAATTGATGTCCAGAATTTCACCTGTAGGTGTTTTCGGTGTCAAAAGTTGTGAAGAGTGTTTGACTGCAGTGAAAAAAAAAAAAAAAAAAATATTGCATCACGCCTTTGTATCAGAACTTGAATATTTATGCAAAAAAATTGTGTCAGTATCATAAGCTTAACTAGCACCATAACAACTACATTGTTCAATTTTTTATCACTCATTCAGTATCATAATGCTAACCTAATTTTAGCTGCCCACTTTCAGTGTATATGCTTTGCTAAATGGAAAGAAACATTTGTTGTTTGACTTCTGAATTAAACATTTACATTTGCTTTCCCCCTATACAAGTTGATTAGATGCTTATACTTGCTATTTATTGAGTTACACTTTCTGGAAAATAAAAGCAAGGAGAAATAAATTCTTTTTGCTTAAATTTTCAGAATATAATTTGTTTAATTTCTCATTACATAACTTTTTGGTTATTTTAATTGTTCAGTTTTGTATCAGAAAATATATTTTGGTTTATAATACTCAGTTATAAGAGAATACTGTAGATAATTCAGTAAAATATCAGTTTTTGAAATTTTCTTTGTTATGTAGGTAGATTTAGCCGCATAAATCAGGTTACAAAGGAATTCTTCATGTGTTCTGTTTGCTCCCATATTACTATAAGAAACACTGATTTTTCAAGAACATTTGCAAGTTCATTAAAAAGGTTATCAATTCCATGCAGCAAAACTTCTGTCACCTAAACTGAAATGACATTCACTAATTCATTCGTGAGAGCGGCCTTATGTTTACCAAATGTGTAACAAAGCTTTTAATCAAAAAGAAAGTCTGGTTATCCAATTCAAGGGTTCATTTTAAATTCATTCTAAAGAATTCTTATCAAAATGCACATCTGTATAGACATTTAAGAGCAGATTTTGGAGAGTAGCCTAATGTTTGTGAAATTTGTAATTGAAGGATTCATATTAAACAGTCCACCAGATTACTTAATAATTGATATTAGTGAATATCCATATCAGCACACTATTGTCGCAATAAAAACAGATAAAAAACTGAATTGAAGGAACATTTATGTATACATCTTGTCGATCAGCAGTATTATTCTTCAAAACTGTGACATTTATTATATAGTATGATGATTATGAAATGTCACTCTTTTATTTTGAAAACAGTAGAGAAAATATATTTAAATATTTACCACTGAATGGAGGTAGAACAGAATTATAATTGAATTTACATGAATTCATTTATGTATGAATTTCCTTATCTCCAATAATGAATTTCGTTAGTTTATATTTCATTTATTATTATCGTACACACAATCTTTCAAGTGATAAGACTACCTGCCGAACATGGGCAGTTCAATACGATTTCAAATTTGCTAGTAGCTTCAGAATTCTAGTGGTTTTCTTATGTAATACGAAGACACGCGAAAATCCTTTAAAATACAGTCAAAAGTCGTTAATCCGGACTCGTCGGGACTTCGGCGATTCCGGATTATCGATTTTTCCGGATTTAGATCATCAGTTTAAATCTCGTAAGATGGCATGCAGAAATTCTAAAATTAAAAATATGAAACCGTAATTTATGAAATAAAGAACAATTATGATCTAAAGGGTATCAAAATTTACAAAAAAAAAAAGCTTAATATTTATTTGTTTACTTTATTAAACATTTCTTTCAATGTAAGTTGTTTAAGTTGCTTCTTTTTATGTGATAATACTTTTTTCTTTAATTCTATAAACAGACATAATTTCTTGTTTAGTTACAAAGTTCCGCTGTTCAAAGTCCCGTAATTGTTGTGCCGAGAATACCGACTAACTTGTCAATCGAAATTTTTTCGTTTTCACTAACCTTTCTGTCACCTTCTTCATGTCTTTATCCATTTTTTTTGCAGCAATTCCACTTTTTGTTTGATGGCCATCGAATCATACTTTCGTTTTGTAGATCCTTTGGGAACTCCAGCATCGGAAATTCTATTTGACATAATCAAAAGTTCAAGTTTACTTTTATAAAATTGCTCTTACATTCTGAAAAAAGTAATAAGCCGGATCCAGTTCGAAGATTAAGGAAGAACGCAATCATCAACATTAACTGAAATAGATAATTTTAGCTTATACCATCCGTTATACATTAAACGCGCACGCGAAAACGTATTCTGCACTTGCGCACACGCATTATGCGCAGTCGTAAAGGTCTTACGCGCACGCGTAAACGCCTATGCGCATGTGTCAACGCGGCGCATGCGCAGAAAGTTTTTAGCTTTGAGGTCCGGATTATAGATCATTCCGGATTATGGGTGTCCGAATTAACGACTTTTGACTGTATATTCTACAAAGGCATACCTTTATTCAGGCAGATAATCCTCATTTGGTTTGCATAATTCCAATAATACAATTCATTCATTATGGTTAACCAGATTATTTTTTTCAGTCAGTGTTTGTGCACGCTTGTACAATAACATGTACAACAAGGTATGGATTGTTTTTGTCAGTGGGAAATTTATATCGCCCAAAAAATAAATAAAGTAAAATGAAACAAAAGAAATTATGGTTTGAAACAAACGGCCTAGAATTCGGTGAAATTAAAGAAATCGTTTTTAGGAAGGCCATCGTGCTGTATGTTCATGCTATTTTTCATACCAAATACAATCAACACTAGCAGCTTTCTGTTTTTATTAAAGAAGCAATCATTTAGTTAATAATATTTGGTATTACTTTAAAGTACTAAGTACGAATCTGTACAGATCGCCATCAAAAAGTATATATAGACTAAAATATTACCTCAATATTAATTTTCTTTTCTGTTCTTTTTATTACATTAAAATATTCTTTCATAAAAATAAAAATGAGCAAATGAAATCATGCAATAGTGTTGGTGATCTAATTTTTTTTTTTTTTTTAATGGATGAAAATTTATTTACTTCCTTGTTAAGCATCTAAATCTAAAAGTGGTATGTGATTTGTTTCCCGACGCTATCTGTTGGATTACATCTTCAGTACTCGATTGATGGGTATATATTTAGATCGTACAGAAGTGAATGATACAAATGCTGCCACAGAGTGGAATACAATTTATTTACAAAAAAACTGATAGTGCATCAGGTTAGAAATAATCCCCGCTCATGCCAATACACTTCTGCTATCCGGCTGGAAGGTCTCGAAGGGCTTTGGTAAACCAGTCTGTGGGAGTGTTGGTGCACCACCTATGAACAATTGCATGCAGTTCGACAGAAGATTGAACATGTTGGCCTCTGACTGCATCCTTCATCTTGTCAAGCAAGGTCTAGTCCGAGGTCCACCCACTTTGCACACACATTTGTTATCTCCAAATCACCATGCACAATCGCCTGCAATGTTCCTTGCTCAAGCCCTGTTTCTTCCTGCATCTTGTTGAACGTTATGCGCCTGTTCGCCATGGCTGACACGGCTGCCACACTTGCTGCTGGTCGTCCACTGCTGAACTTGGCCAACCAACGGGATACGGTACGCCTTGAGGGTGCTTTGTTCCCGCACACCGACACCATGCGAAGATGGATCTCCCTACCCTGTATCCTTTCCTTCCATATGAACCACGCTGTCTAACGCCGATCGTGATAATTACTTTCCATTATTGCTATCCACGCTTTCAATGACGACGGCGAAAGGGACGGGCGCCGACTCGTACTGTTCGCTTGCAGCCAGCTCCATCTATGCATTCTGAGCAACTCACGCCTCCTTGTGTCTATTTCACTTGTTTTCACTTCGCATAGAGTAATAGTTTCGTTTTGAGAACTGTTGTGTAAATCATTTCTGTACGAATCAAGTATTTGCTAAATTTTACGTCTAATGTATTTCTCTTTTGTAGACAGGATGCATGACATTGTTCTTTTTGCGTAAGAAAATGTATTTAAAATGAGTTTATTCACTTATATGAGAATGTTGTATATATTTTCGTAAAACATCAGTATAGAAATTTTCTTTATTTTGTAGGTAAAGTAAGCCACCTAAGTCAGGTTGAAACGGAAATCTTCAGATGTTCTGTTTGCTGCTATGTTGCTACAAGAATTATTGATCTTGAAGAACATTTGTTAGTTCACAGGAAAGGTCATCAGTTCATTTGTAATACATGCAGCAAAACGTTTGCTACATCACATAAACTTAAGAGGCATGCAATAATTCATTCTGGAGAGCGGCCATATGTTTGTCAAATGTGTAACAAAGGTTTTAATCGAAAAGAAAGTTTGGTTATTCATTCAAGAGTTCATTCTGGAGAACGGCCTTATGCTTGCGGAACATGTAATAAAACTTTTAAGCAAAGAGCAGCTCTGTTTTCTCATTTGAGAACTCATTCCACAGAGCGGCCGTATGTTTGTGAGGTGTGTAAAGGAAGTTTTCGTCATAAACAATCACTTACAGAGCATTTCAAAATTCATAGTAATGAATATTGGCATCAATGCACTATTTGCAGAAAAAAGTATAGAAGAAAAACTGAACTACGGAAACATTTGTGTACAGGTTATATGGATCAATAATTTTGTTCGTCAAAAATGTCATGTTTCGCGATACATTATAATGATTATGAAACATCGCCATTTATTTTGTAAATCAAAAAGAAAATATATTAAAAAGTGTAACATTGTCTTTTTTTTTTTTTTTTTTTGTTTTTATGTTATTCTCTTTTATATAACAGTGGTATATTTTTTACTCAAAAATGTAATTTGCAGCTATATTAATTTTGCTCAAAATATATTGACAAAAACGGAAATAGACGCATATTGTTATTTTTGTTAGAGACCATTTGCTAGAATTCGTAGAAGCTTTATAAAACATCCACAGGGGTCACAGAGTGAAGAACAGATAGTATTTGCTTATAAAATTGATATTTTAAGTTATAGTGCATAACTCACCCTTTATCGGCAAAGTACCGAAGATAAAATACCCCCATATGCGGTCAGGTCGTAAATTTACAATCCCTTTTTTCAGGGGGAGAGCTGACAAGGAGGGGACAGTTTTGCTCCAGATCTTTTGAAAATGTGGGGGTTGTTTAAACATCTAACTTCTCTACATTCAGTTTTATACAGAGGAAAATACAAATTGAATTCTTCGAATGAATGCTATTTTGTACAATGAAAATGTATTACTTGAACGAATAAAATGTAAGGCAAATAACATCTTTTTTTTAAAGCCATAGGAACAGAAAGACAGATATTTGTTACATCGAATGAATTTGTAGTAAATATTGAGTTTTTCATTTTCGAATACTATGTTACCATGTATGCGAAGTAACTGAGTATCTGAGAAAACAGTCATAACCCAAATGGCTTTCAAACCTTTTCACGTCTAAGGACCGTTTTCTTCAAATTACATTGTGGTCGCTGCTTTTTTTTTTGGTTAATTATCTAATGACATATAAACAATAATTGTTTTTATTTGAGACTTATGAATAAAAAACGCAAACTAGACTGCAGAAAAATTCTTAAGAATGAAGTTAAATAATACTGAAAAGTACATTATTGATGCACTTTAAGGTTTTATATGTAGTAGTAGTATTAACTACTACTATAATCCTTAAATGGAATCCTTAAATTATATATATCTATGTATAGGTATATATAAATGGAACCAAATATAGAAACAAGGTATAAAATATCTTTATTATACAATGTTCATTACCATACCTATATTTACGTAATATCAATATAAATAGTTAGTTAGGTTTCGTAACATATATAATTTATTTTTATATTTTGTATTTTTTTGTATTAGATTCAGTATTGAAGTTTAATTTTACTTGTTCTCTTTTTGGGTTACGACTTTAAGTGAGAAAGAATTGTTAGGGCCGTCATAGGGATTACATTATATACAATCAATTAGGAAATTCGACTTTTCCTTTCTTTTAATAATCATACATATTGGTAAACTATTTTATAAGTATACATAAAATATAGGAGTTTGTTAAGCTACATTATTTTATATATCTATTGTTTGGTCTTGATTTGTTTGATTATAGGCAAAGCATTCGATGGCTATTTGCGTAAGAGTAAGGATGCCTCGTGGAGAACTTTCTAAGCAAAAACTGACTCGTATGCGCGTTACACATGGGGAAAAACCACGAAAACGCCAATACAGCCATTCCCCGGTTCGACCGGGATTTGAACCCCAGGATTCGACCTACCAAGAGTTCAACGACTTTACCGCTCAGCCACTAGTGAGCCACACACACACACACACACACATCCACATATATACATTAAATCAAATTTACATGTCGGTTATAAAGTATAATTGAGTGTGATTTAATCATAAAGAGTTAGAAAATATTCTACGAAATTACTTCACTTTGTAGACTTTTTGTTAAGCTTCACCATATTTCTTAAAGAGAATCTCAATGCTAGTTCCATTTCCAAGCTGTTTATGTACCTTATTTTTCATGCTTTGAATTATATTTAGAAAATTATTTCACATGGTTATAGCTGAAAATGCAGAAGAGAATTATGCCCTTTTCTAATTATTCTTGAAGCATTTAAATTTTTTTTAAAAAAGCGCACATTAATACGGATCACTGCATTAAAGTGCTCGATACAGGACAGATTAATTAGCTACTAAATTTTGATTTTCATTGAGTAAAAATGAATTCATCTGCATTCTATAAGAAAGTAAATATTAAAAAAATGTTTTTTTTTTCCCCTATTCTCGCAGTCATAATATTTTTCTTAAATATTCAGCTAATTCATATTCAAATATTTCCAATCCATTACAATTAGTAATAAATCGATACAGTAAATAAATAATTAAAATCAATTAAATGGAATTTTAATTGATTTTAATTGCCATTTTCCCTCTGAAAAAAACCCCTCTTTAGAGTTCCATAGCAGTCGATCACTTTGTTGGGGTTCATTTTTCTTTATGGTATGCTTACGTTATATATGTATGTATTATGCATTGCTCATACTCGTCAATTGCAGCTTTTAATATCTTTTGGAAAAAAATCAATATTGTAACAGACCTATTTAAGGGTAATTGAACTATTTTATTCACGCCATGAACTCATGAACTGTAACCGAACTATTTTATTTAAACGCCATCTCGTGGCGATATGAAAAAACGTCAGTCGACCTCCAGCCGCCATGATGATAGCTTACTATGTTATGTTATTCTCAATGTTTGATGTTCCATTGGTATATGTTTCATTTTTATGTATATTTCTTTGTTTGTAACCGTTCCTGTGTGCTCTGTTAATAAATCCTTTTAAAGCTAGCCGGCATTAGTGTCTATTGAGGAACGGCTACATCACATTGGCGCCCAACTAAATTTGAATCCAAAATGGCGCAACAAAATGTTTAGAATTTCTGTTTGGCTTTAACAAGCTCTTACTCCCGAATTTAACTTTTAGTTGTGGAGATCGGCTCAGTTTCTTTTCAGGTGTGGACTACTGGTCAAATATTCTGGAAACCAATTCTGGAATTAAAATTGTCATACCGTGCTGCTAGCACATCGAATCATCAACTGGACAATTTCAACGGAAAAGATAAGTTTCGTTTACATTATCGTTTAATCTGAGTTTAAAGTTCTTTTAAACTGATTATTTATTATAAGCTTCTTAAAGCAAATGTAAATTCTTTACTGAAATCTCATTTATTGATACTACATAAGAGTATTAAACGAAAGCAAACAGCTTTCTGTTAACCAAACGTTATTTCTTGAATTGTAATTTGTTATTTTAAAATGTTAATGCGCCATAGTAAATTAATTTGTGAATAATATTGTTTCACTGAATACATGTTTTGATGTTAAAGTTTGAATATATTCATGGACGTTTGTTCATTAGAATTTATTAGTTTCGATTCTGACATACAGCAGCAGATGTTTTCCCCCGCGGAAATGTTTAGACTAGCGATGATTTATGATGTATTTACGTCAAATCTTTTATTATTTTTATTTCCTTTGAGTGCTGTTGTTCCTTATTAAATGTTTTATTCTACATAAAGTAAAATATTGTACTTGTTGATTTATCTTTCGACGAACATTTTGAGAAAATGATTATAGTATAATACTTTAAGAAAATACGATTGTTTTCCTTAATGAATGCATGTCTTGAAAATATTTCTTGAAGCGAAAGAAAATAATTATGAATAAAATCGAATGACTATTTAAATAAAGTAAAAGAGTTACTAAGTGTGTGTTGCTTAATCAGCTTAATATTTTGTTAAGATTAAGATTTCGAAGAATTCAGCTTAAATATAAAAGCTTATGGTAAGACATTTATCTATGTTTTTGTATGTTTTGCTAAGTAGTAAACAATTTTTTTGAGCAATTTATTATATGTTATTTTCTTGATACAAGTTGAATTTATGAGGGCATTTTATGATATTTTTACGACTTCGAAATAATAAACTTTGTGAGTATTATTGTTTACATTTATAAATACTGTTTATAGTGGTATATAAATGTACGAGTAACATTGTTTACATTCATACATGCTGTTTAATAGAGGTATATATACATTTTACTTAAAGGTATAATTATTAATTCTAAAATACTGTATTGTGAATAAAATCGAAATAACAACAAATTCAACTTCATTTTTTCCCTCCCCCCTGACCTCTCATATAATTATGGCTTACCTTGCCAAAGCACGAAAAGAGGATTTAAAAACTCTCGCTGCAGAACAGGGTTTCACTGTAAACGACACTATGCGAAGTAATAGATCTTAAAGATCTTATTGTCAATTCTGACACTTATGATGAGGCTTTTACCAGGAATCTTCTGGAAACTTTAATCGAAACTAGACAACAAAAACAACGTGAAAGCAACGATCTGGAGACACGTCAAAGAAAAGAACAAGAACTTTTATTAGAATTGGAACGTTTAAAATTAAACCTGGCAGCTGCTAGCTCAAACCCTAACTATGCCGCCTTTGCTTCAAATGCAGCTATTGGAACAAATATTCAACACCTAATCCCTAAATTTACAGGAACTTCTGACATTGCAACCTACCTGCAAATTTTTGAAAGACAATGTGAGAAAGTTAATATAAAACAAATAGATTACATCACTCATCTCCTACCTCTTCTGCCTATAGACATTTCGCAATTATTTTTTTAAGAGAACCAAAAGACAAATTAGAAGATTATTCTTACATCAAGAAGATTCTGCTACAAAGATTCAAATTAAATGCTGAATCATTTCGAATTAAACTTACTACACACCAAAACACACACCCTGGTCTTTATGGAAAGATTTTACTTACGAATTAAACAATTATCTCGAAGAGTGGCTCCATAGTCTCGATGTTACAGACTTTGAATCACTCAAAGACTTGGTCCTGACGGATCAGCTTAAAAGAAGAGTCAGTAGTGTGACGTTAAGGAGCATTTTATTGATACTTGGGGAAAAATAAAGAGTTCATCTGAATTAGTACAGAAATTGGATGATTATGAAGCTGTACGTGTTAAAAATACGAACTATAAAACTGAACTTCCTGGCAGGCGGAACTATTCTTACAAACCGACTAATCCATCCAAACACAAAGTAGAAAATCGAACAAGTGACATACAGGGAACTCATAAAACCTTTTCAAATCGTGTTCAGCAACAAACAGAGGAAAAGCGACCTCCTTTTTTAACATGCTATGGGTGCGG